CTTTCAGAATGGTCTCCACTGGTAACGGGATACCATCCAGTTCTTCCAGTCTCAGAGTCATGAAGGATGATGTTCACATGGTCACTAGTCCCTTGGACTAATTGCATCTGTGCACCTTTGATTTTCTTCACTCTTCTTTGTTCCAGATAGGAAAAGATCAATAGCTATACTTTAAATGGCCACTTGCAAGCTTTTAAGACTCCAGTCACCACTCACCAAAGTAGGATGTAGAATATCGGCTTTGTGGACCATGTTATGCCAATTGACCTTCATGTCTCTTATGACTATTGTCCTGAGCCCCTAGGCCCAGAGACTCATTTCCTCAAGGTTTTTAATTATGGATAAAAAGCTTCAATAACTTTGTCCCCTGTTTGCTCTACTGTATACCTGAATATTTTTACAGCACACTGTTGTTGTTGTTGTTGTTGCTGTTGTTAGGTGCCATCAAGTCAGCTCTGACTCAGAGAAACTCTTTGCACAACAGAAAGAAACCCTGCCTAGTCATGCACCATCCTGACAATCCTTGCTATACTTGAGCCCATTGTTGCAGCCACTGCATCAATACTTCTCATTGACAGTCTTCCCCTTTTTCTCCGACCTTCTGTTTTGCCAAGCATGATATCCTCCAGAGAATGGTCCCTTCTGACAACATGATCAAAATAGGTGAGACAAAGTCTGGCCATTCTCACTTCCAAGGAGCACTCCAGCTGCACTTTTTCCAGGACAGATTTGTTCATTCTTTTGGCAGTCCATGGTACTTTCAGTATTCTTCACCAACACCGCAACTCAAAAGCATCAACTCTTCTTTGATCTTCCTTATTCATTGTCCAGCTTTCACATGCATACAGGGCAATTGAAAGTACTATGGCTTGGGTTAGGCTCACCTTAGTCTTCAAAGTGACATCTTTGATCTTCAACACCTTGAAGAGGTATTTTGCAGGAGATTTGCCCAGTGCAATATGATGTCTTGACTGCCACTTCCATGGGTATTGATTGTGGATCCAAGTAATATGAAATCTTTGACAACTTCAATCTTTTCTCCATTTATTGTGATATTGCTTATTGGTCGAGTTGTGAGAATTTTCATTTTCTTTATGTTGAGATGTAATCCTTACTGCAGACTGTAGTCTTTAATCTACAGTAATTTAAGTACTCCAATTTCTCTTCACTTTCAGCAATTAAGGTTGCGATGTCTGTATGTTGCAGGTTGTTAATGAGTCTTCCTCCAATTCTGATGCTGTGTTCTTCTTCATATAGTCCAGCTTCTCACATTATTTGCTCAGCATACAGATTGAATAAGTATGGGGAAAGCATACAACCCTGATGCACACCCTTCCTGATTTTAAACCGTGCAACTGTCTGCTAATAAGTTGTCTTGTTGCCAGTGTCACCCCCTCCAATCTGCCCTGAATGATCTTTCTACAACACCTATATGACCATGTCACACTCCTATTAAATTCCCTTACTAGTTCTTCCCAAATGCATTAGGAATATAGCAAAGGAAACCCCTTTGACTCCTGCTGACCCAGTACATAGCAGATTGTCATAAGCCAATAGGTCTCAAAACACCACCTGAGAACTTCTGACAAACTAGAGTTCAGACTCTGTAGAATGATCCACAGGGCCCTTCTTTATTGACTCTAGTAAACTTTTCAACCTCATTTCTTGTCAGTAACTTCATGTTCCTTCAGATGCTCAAATACTTTATGCAATTTCACTCTTCCATATTTGTGTCCATATTATGCCCTCTGCCTACAGTGTCTTCTCTGCCTGAATGTTCTGCCTTGAATGTCCTTGTCTTCCTGACAAACTCCTATCCATCCTTTAAAACCTGCCAGGTATCATTTTTAATCACTCTCACTTCTGTAGGTACCACTTCTGTGCTTTGTATATGATCTATCATTGCATGGGCTATATGCATTGTAATTACATGTTTACATACCACCCAAGTCTCTATGCTGTTTGAAGGCAAGAACCATGTCTCACTCATCATAGTATCCCCAGCAATTGGCCCAGTAACTAAAACATAAGAAGTGTGCAGAAAATGTTTGTTAAACAGAACTATTTTTTCCTTTGCTATATTCTTAATGCATTTGGACACTTAATCTCTCTCGGATTAATTCTTCTGATTTATGCAAGGTTTTCATTTAGACCTTGTGACCTTATAAGCCTTGATAAGTTTCACTGTAGCTTATAATAGTCTCCTTTTCATGTCTGATCTTACCAAGAAAACTCAAGTCCAAACAAGATGTTCAGGATAACTTTAATACTGAAATGTGACTAAAAAAAGTTGTAACCTGAGAAGGAACCTAGAAAATGGAGGCCACAGTACAAGAATATATTACTGTTCATTCATCAGTGTCCCAGAGAGAAAGGTGCTGTATCTGGTGGCCTCTGAGCTCCACTCTCCCATGGAGGAGGATAAAACATCTCTTCAAAGGCCACCCACCAATTAGAACTCCCATTGTTCTAATTGCACAAGCACAAGCCATCTTTCGTGACTAATTCATTTTCCTAGGTATTTTGATAACAGGACAGGGAAACTCTAATGTTTCAGGAACCAAAAATGCAGCTTCCCTCATTAGCTAAAACATTTCTTGCTTACACACCCATCTCTTGTGTGTTTGATTCACATAAATCAGTCCTCAGGATGTAAGCAGATTCAACCTTGTGTGCATTAACAAAATCAATATTATGTCCTTACAGAACTGTCACTGGATCACAGTGATCACATCATGGTAATGCCCTCCTTGCAGGCTCTGAGCAAGCAGCTGCCTCCTTCCACTCCTTTGTCACTCCCTTTTAATTTAATTTAGCAACTCTTGTGTAACACATTCACAGGTCACAAAACAGTTTCACATTATAGTTTATGTCCACTTGATATCTAGAGGCAAATATCCTCTCTGGTGGTGTAGTACTTAAGGCATTTATTTGACTGTTAACCAGAAGGCTGGTGCATCAAACCCACCAGCCACTCCTCAGAAGGAAGATTGGGCAATCTATTTCTGTAGTAATACTGTCTCGGAAACCCAAGGAGGGGTTGGATCTGACTTGACAGCAGTGAGTTTGGGGTGTGTGTGTGTGTGTGTGTGTGTGTGTGTCTTCTTTCATTTCACCTACAAACCAACTGAGGCCCAAGATGGTAAAGTGATGTGTTCAAGGATCCACACATCCAGTAAGCTGTGGATTATTTTCCTTTGGCTGTCTTGTAGATGTTAAAGTGATTTAAACCCAGGTTCTCTGAATCAAAATGACTTCTTTTTGGTACTCTACCATAATGCTTCTCAAACTCTCACATCAGTCCAGGTGAGCAATAGCTCTGGGGAAGAGATGATTGGGGAGGAAGTTTAGAGCTTACTCAAGTTGTGTTTACGTAATACTCTCATTGATCTGTATTCTTTATTTTCCCTCAGCCCTGGTTGATGATGAAGCCAAAAAGACTTTTCCTAATTGGAAACTAAGAAAATTGATGCTCCGAGAAGTTAACTGACTTTTATGTAGGTATAGAACCTTTGGAAAGTTGATGTTCACTTGTTCCTAAGAGCAAGAATCTGCTGAGTGTTTGCAGACCAAGAAGCAATGTCACAATAGCCAGATCATCATCATGATCATCATCACGATCAAGATGATCATCATCATCATCATCATTATCATCATCATTACTTTTGTTATTAAAATTGGCATGTACTGAGTGGCTACTAGGTGCAAAGCCATGTTCATTCATCATCTTATTCAACACTGACCCTGGCTTCCAAAGTGAAACCAAGTCTTCCCCCTGCACCATGTGCTTTCCTTTCCACCTACCCAGGGCAATTCTCATGAGGGAGGCATTATTTCACTTTAGAGATAATCAAACTGAGGTACAGAAACTTACACATCATCACAGAACTAATAAATGGTGATGATAGGATTCAAACTTAAGCATTCTGAGCTCAAATGTCTGTGCTTCTGAGTATCTTGTCATACTAGCTCACAAGTACAGGTTATATGTCAACCGAGATCTTTTAGATTAAGCAGAACTCTGTGTGGTGACCTGAAAGACAGTAGAAATGGCCAATCAACTCCCCATTTCCACCCTCAATTCTTGAACTCCCAAGCAAAATCTGTATTCTGGTTGCAGAGACTTCTGACCCTACTTTACCCACACCCTTCTCATCATTAGCCATTCTATATACACAATTACTTTGCTGTGCAATACTTTCCCCTCATCTCAGTGCCAAACCCCTCCTTCCCAACCTGCTTGCTAACCACCCTTTTTCAGAAAGTCTTCTCAGATGAAACCTGCCACCCTAGTCTCTCCATTTCTCCATGACATCTCCACCCACTTGGAAAGAGCTTGCTCTCTATCATCCCACCCTAGTTCAACTTTGCCTGATCAGCCTCCACATCGCTCACATTCTTATGCCATGTGGCTCTAGTGTCTTCTTTCACCTTCACAAAGCACCCACCCAGGGCAACAGTACCATGAACAAAGAATATTGAGACTCATAGAGAATTTCAAATGCAGTTTATTGCAGCAACACAAGAAAACAAGGAGTTGTCAACCTCTCCACAAAAGACAAACAATTGGCTTACACCATATGTACAAAACCAAAGCATCACAGAGATTGTCACAAGAGAGAAGATACAAAGGAATTTTCCAGAGCATATGCTCTGTGTGTGTGTGTGTGTGTGTGTGTCAAGGAAACCATGGGTCCAACTGGCCCTCCTCTGGTTGGTTTAAGGAGGTGCTTCGAAATGTAATGTGTGCAATGGTCATTGCTAGACTGTTTCTCAGGCAAAGCAAAAAGCATGGTCAAAGCCAGGGGACTGGCATTGCCACTGATCTGAAAATTTCTTTGGGAAGCAGAACAGAAAAGAAAGAGCTGGGGAAATAGGATGAACCAGTGTGATTAACCATAGCTCTTTTCTCCAAGAAGGCTGGGGCAATTGACCTTGGTCTTGCCAAGCATGTTTGGTAGTGATAGAGAGGAAGAGCTAGCAGAGTAGAGAGCACCTTTTTATCTGGTTCCACGGGAATAACTGGTGGAAACAAACTTCACACTGGAGCTGCCACCAGAGGTCTTGACTCCCCCAGAACTGGATACTCGTCCTCCTGAGGAACTGTAGCTGCCTCCAGAGCTCCCACCAACAGAACCCCGACCAACAAAGCTGCTACCGCCCCCTCCAGAGCCACTTTTGTGGCCTCCACTGCCGCCTCCAGAGCCGTAGCTGCCACTGCCGCCACCGCCGCCACCACCTCCGGAACTGTAACTGCCACCTCCGGAGCTGTAGCTACCGCCACCACCACCAGAGCTGAAACCACCGCCTCCTCGGCTACCACCTCCACTGATGCTGGTGTGACTGGTGCTCACAGCTGCAAGGAGAAACTCAGTTACTTCAGCCCCAACTCCCTTTCCAACCCAACCAAACCTGGACATGCCCATGAGAAGGTAGCTTGTACTTACACACGCTCACATTCGGGGCACACTCTCCAGACATCCTGTAGGAAAATAAGCAAATATCTTATGATTCTCCAGTCTCATAGACCCCTTTCTCATGCCTTTCCAGTCTTTTGGAAGACTGTCACTAGCTGGATCCCATCTGGGACTCCTCTATTCTACTCATCTGAAATCTAATCCAATCTCTTCTGGTGACCCAACCAGCTGTCATTTTTCTCAGCCTGAGTACAGACAGGGAGAAATCTCCATCTCAATTAGACAAGAGTCTTGCAGCTAATTAGGGCTACCTCTAAAAAGCATTGTCTTTAGGTCGGGTGATATCTGACCCAGCCCAGAGGAAGAATAAATTGTTCCATTTCAAAGCTCTATATAGAGATGCTACCACCTTGCAAAGAATTTGGAACTGACTCTCACTCCCAAAGTGAAAGTCCCAAAGCCCCTGAACCATGTACCTTCCTTTCTGCATACCCAGAACAGGTTTGCAGGCAGTTAGTTGTACCTTTGGCAATAGTCTGCCTACAAGGAAGAAAACCCACAAGAAGTGGCCAAATTGCCCAGGTTTTCTTTCTTACCTGATCTCCTCTCCTTCCAGGAGGGTTCTGTAGGTGGCAATTTCCAGATCCAGAGCCAGCTTGGTATTCATCAACTCCTGGTAGTCCCGCACTAGGCGAGCCAAATCCTCCTTGGCCTTCTGCAGGGCATCCTCCAGCTCTGACAGCTTGTTCTGGGCATCTTTGAGGGCATTCTCACCACGCTGTTCAGCATCACTGATAGACTGCTGTATCTGAGAGATCTGAAAAAGGAGAATTCAACACACTACACCCTCTCATCTCACCTTTGCATTCTCATCTCAAACTGATCTCTCCACCCCAGTAAGGCTAATATACTGAACCCAACGAAATTATTGGAACTTAATAGGAATTGTTGAATGGAAAACTAATTTTCTCTGTAAATTTTCATCCAGATTACAATAAAAATAAATAAACCACTGGAACTTAAGTCATCTCATGTGTTCTCCTGCTTCTGACAGGATAACCAGAACCTAGCATGTCGATTTCCTTTAAAAATCCTTGCATGGTGTGCTCTAAGTTGAAGTTCCTCTAACCATAACAGACTCGATGTTCTAAATGCCTAACCTCAGATCTCATGGCTTCCTTATCCTCTTATTCACTGCCTTTTAAATCTCATTTTGGCTCATGGGCCATACTGACCGGCTGAATTCTGGAAGTCAATCTAGTTACCAAAGGAACTGGGGTTAATAATTCAGCCTTGGTATGGCTAATAAGATTCAAAACTAGAAAAGCACACTCCAATTACCTAAGGGGCCCTGCATTCCACACAGGTGAACACTGGAAAGAGGGAGCAAGTACCTGCTTCTTCACAGCTTCAATTTCAGCTCTAAGTCTCTGGATCATCCGATTCAGCTCAGAAATCTCCATCTTTGAATTTTGCAAACTGTCTCCATGTTGGCCAGCGGTGATCTGGAGCTCTTCATACTGAAGATGGTAGATCAGGACAATTAGATGTGAACAGAGCACACCATGGTTCAGGCAGAGAAATGTAAAAGATAACACAGGATAGGAAGACCAGACATTTTAGGGGAACTAGCTAGGCATGCAGGTCATTCACCTTGGTCTGGTACAAGGACTCAGCCTCAGCCTTGCTCCTCTGGGCAATATCCTCATACTGGGCCTTGACCTCAGCAATGATGCTCTCTAGGTCTAGGCTACGGTTGTTATCCATGGAGAGGGTAACGTTGGTTTCACTGATGTGAGTCTGCATCTGAGACAACTCCTGCAAGATATAATAGTCCAGTGACTCTTATAGTATTAAACAAGAAAGCAACTTAGTTGGAGGGGAAAATCAATCAAGATACAAAAAATACACCTGTATTTTCCTGGATAGTGGTGGGTTTAGGTATAAAAGTTCTCCATATAGGTAAACTTTATTGAAATTACAGGACTTACCTCTTGGTAGAGCATTGTGAGGAACTCAATTTCACCCCTTAAGTTGTCAACTTTGGCCTGAAGGTCCACCTTGGTTATATAAGCACTATCCACATCCTAAAGGAACAACAGACATCATGAAGCCATATTTACCCAAGAGCAAGTCATTAGCTGTGAGGGGGTTTTCCAAATAGGAATTGGGAGTCTACTTCTTTTTACTCCAGTTGGATCACAATTCCTGTGTTATGTCACCCTTTGGTATCACAATCAAGGGAGCTTGGCTGACTTGCTAAGAACTTGCCTCCTTGCTTACTACACCAGGTACTGAGAAATCAGGAGAAACAGAGAAGTCCAGGCTAAGTCCAGGTCCATGATAATGTGTGTGCATGTGTGTGGGGGGGGGGGCTGCTCAATTTCAGATATTCATTGGGCTTGATTCCCCACATCCTGACTTATTTCTGATTAGTATTTGAGACCCTCTATTATTACTCATTTCAGATGAGAGCTTCACCCTGAAGAATTTGCTCACCTTCTTGATGGTCACAAATTCATTCTCTGCATTTGTCCGCTTGTTGATCTCCTCCTCATACCTATTGGAGAGCAGAAGCAATTACCATTCTAGACTAAAAGTGGTATTGCCTGCCATTGCTTTCCTATTACTAACCTAGAACATCTTGACAACCCTCTCCTTCTGAGCAATAAAACCACTAAACTACTTCCAGCTTCTGAGAAGATAAAGATTTCCACAAATACCAATCTTATTTGCTTCTAACTTAAGAAAATCCATTGCAAAATAATGCTCCACAGTCTTAGCATACAACTTTCTGAAAATCTTTTAGAACAGGAGTCAAGAACTGCCCACCCATGCTTCCTTACTTGTTCCGATAATCCTCCACCAGGTCTTGCATGTTCTTCAGTTCTGAATCCATCCGGGACTGGTCACTCTTCAGGTGGTCTATCCTGTTTCTGAGGCTGCTGATGTATTGCTCAAACAAGGGCTCTAAGCTGTGAGTTCTAGTGGAGGTATCTATCTGCTGCAGCAGCTCCCATTTTGTTTGCAGCACCTGGTTCTGCTGCTCCAGGAACCTCACCTAATAACACAAGAGCCCATTACCTACTGGTACCCAATGAGGTCTCATGGCTACTGAGTGCCAAGAACCACCCCACAGCAAGATCTATGCCTTACGTAGAAAATAACTTCAGTATCTATTTTCCTGGCCATGACAAACAGAGAAGTACAAAGAAGATGATCAAATTAGCATCATCTTTACAACAAGATCCAACTCACAGTTACATTCAGGGAAGATTTAATTTCCCTGAGAACAGCAATTATAGTCCTGTTTCACTGGAACTTTGAAAGGAAGCAGCTACACAAACACCAAACAGCAAAGCCCATATAAAATTATTGCAATTATAATTTGAAATAGACACATGATATGTAAGAGATTGGCTTTCCAATTTTTTTTTTAGGTTTATTACCATAAAAATTGGTTTTCATTTCCTGGGCACACAGCTCAAAAAAGATGTTAGGAAAATCCAAAGTTGGATTCAAATTTATTGTGGATAACCTTGAGTTGACATTATTGACTATTTAGCAAAAAGTAAAGACAGGTTTGTGTGTTGTTCTGGAGCTGATATTTGGAAATAATAGTTTGAAAAAAAAATCTCCACTCTGGTCCAGGGCCAATGTAAAATTCTCAGAGAATGAAGCTTCTGATAGCAAAAGATATCTGGCACTGACTTATTGAGTACTTTCTGCTACAATATTACAATGCACTCTGTTCACACTCAGCTTACTTTTTATGGATATACACTTTCTAGGGTTTTCATTTGCACACATTCAGTTAGCCCCACTTCTATTATCTTCATTCAACACAGTTGAGTCCCAGTTCATCTCAAAAGCTGAATAAGAATACACCTAGAGACCAATGTCAAATTGATCCATGTCTAGGCAGACCACATACCTCACTCTCCAAGAGAGAGTTGAGTCATTAGCCTCATTCACAAGCATACTTCTAGCATGTCTCCTACAAGACCATTCCATAAAATATCTTTTTAATCATTCTAACACGGAAAATATTTCTTGACTGCACCAATCTCCAATGAACCTCGAGCAGTTCTCCCAATGCACTGACCAAGTAAACTCACCTTGTCAATGAAGGAGGCAAATTGGTTGTTGAGTGTCTTGATTTGCTCCCTTTCTTGAGACTTGACTTTTTGGATCTGAGGGTCAACCTCCACATTGAGGGGTTGCAGAAGGCTTTGGTTGATGGTGACTTCCTGTATGCCACCAGGGGGACAGACAGGCCCCAAACCACCTCCAAATCCCCCAAAACCAAAACCACCTCCACCAAAACCACCTCCACTGCCAAAACCACCACCACCACCAAAACCTCCACCACTACCATAACCACCACCAAATCTACTGCCACCACCAAAGCTACCACCACCAAAGCCACCACCACCAAAGCCACCACCACCACCAAAGCTGCCGCCACCATAACCACCGCAACCACCACCATGTCCACCTCCTCTAGCCACACTTAAGGAGATACTTTTACTGCCACCAAGGCTAACAAGACTCCGACTTCCAAAACCAACACCACCAGCACCTCCACCACCAGAGACTGAAAATCTTCCACTGCCTCTCCCACTGTGGCGCACAGAGCTGCTGGTGGTCCGGCGCAGATTGGTGACAACCCCAGCAGAGCCAGAGCTGAAGCCTCCTTTACTCCGGTACCCAGACCTAGAACTAAATTGTCTACTCATGTTGATTTAGAGAAAAATAGGATCGACGTAGAGAGAAGAAAGGAGCTAAACACTCCTCTACCCCAAGCACTGAGACTTCCCCTTATATACACAGAGGAAATTGGGCTTGGTCCTCCAGAGTCAGCAGAGATGGAGTGTCTCTCAAGGGATTGGCTTGCCTGCAGCCATACAAGATTTTTACGAGCCTCAACAATACGATAAACACTACACACCTAGCTCCCAGGATGGGCTCTCAAAATTGCTGGGCAGGCAAGACTAGCTCATGTGGTAATCATTTTATCAGACAAGATCTCTCTTTAAGTGTTTGTGACTTTGGGAAAGTAGGACCCCACATCTGCTATCTGGTGCTTCTTGGTAGGATTTCATAACCCCTTGTCACAAAGTTATGTCAATTTCCATTCTTGCTCTACCCGTGTAAGCTGCTAAGACCAATCTCTCCTCATGCACAGCAGGTGCAATTTCCCACTCTTGAATCTCAGATGGCACTCTCAGGCCCATTTCATTTTTGAGATCTGCCCTCCAAACCCCAGAGCCCACCAAATTATATCTCCCAACACAGAGTAAGGACCTTAACAAGTAAAAAATTATGATAAAGATTTTTTTTTTAATCTAAGCTTTATAAGTGTACTGCATTAATATTAAAGGATGTGAAGCTGTCTTGAGAGCAGGATGTATGGTTAGGTGCTCTGAAAGAACCAGAAGGGAGAGATACGTTCTTATGTAAGTTCCCAAGTAGCCCCATTTCCTCAAAGACAGTCCAATGCAGAAAAGAGAGATTAGGACACAGATACCAGAAGAAGCACAGGGACAGCCACAACAGAAAACAATGGATGGAATGCAAACATAATCTGAAGTAGCATATGAAGTAGTGAAATGAGCAGACAGCAGGTGTATTAAACACCTCCTCTACATTCACCTTTACACTGTATAAAGCAAAAATATGGAGATGAAGCTGGAAGGCTCATGGTCCGAACTGCACTCTGACTACAAGGAGAGATTAAAGTAAATTTGCAAGGGATGAAAATTAAGGGAGCCTGGAAAAGCCTGATCTGAGAATATAAAAGGTTTCTGGAAGTAATAACAATAATGGATAGTATTAATCAAAAACTGACCATGTAACCAAGCACTGTACTACATATTTTACATATATTAACTCATTTAATTTTCACAAATGTATGAGATAGATGCTGTTATTATCTCCATTTTAGAAATAAGGAAACTTAATCACAGAGCTTGAATAGCCTGTTCATGTTTACACAGATGCTAAGTGGCACAGCAGGGATTTGAACCAAGGATGTCTGATTCTAGGCAAGACCTAACTAGTGTGTTGTATGGCAGCATAGTAACTGAATCCAAAGTGTCTAGAACGTGGGACATTGTCCCACTGCAGAGAGCTCATAGGACAGGAGGTCTAGCTTATCCCTTTGAATCCTTGGCTCCTGGTACATGGCAAGAGATCAGGAAATGTTTCTTCAATTAGTTCTAAGAAGGGGAGATTGGAAGCACAGAGTTCAGTGAGACATTTTATTCTGTCTGAGTGTACAAGTTTCCAGCATGCATTGTGATGAACCAGGAACCTCCCTGGACACCAGCACTTGATCGATATTAATGGACAATAGTGGCAATGAAATCTGGAAAGACCAGAACCCCACACAGACTTTGATTTGTAGCCTTCTTAGGAGCCTGGCATACTTCCCACCCACACAATGTAAACACAGCTCTAAACTCAACCTGGTGAGAAGCAGCTCTGTACAAAATTGTGAATGGTAAACATAGATCTGTTATAGGAAGTCTCTACTAGGAAATATAAGATGCATAGGATAAGGGGAACCTCAAAGACCATCTCATCTTATTGCCCGTGCTTCTGAATCACAAGAGCTGAATGCCAGTCCTCTCCACCCCACAACTCACAAAAGCCTTGTCCCTTCTCTCCTCTCACAGTTTTTGTATTGCCCTCTTCTAGAAAGTGCCCCTCACCTATACTCCTTCTCCCCACTCCTCCATGGCACTGCTTTTGAGGTCTGTCCTAGCACTCTGTAATGTCATTGATCTGGTAAATCAACCATCTCTTTAGGGAATGAGTAATCCAGATCTTGTACCTGATGGGGAACAATGGGGACTGGGATGGTCTTGGCAGGGTAACAACTGTTGCCTAATCATCTCTGACAGGCAGTCAAAATTCTTTAATTCAGCATACTCCCTCATGAGACATATCATTCTGCACAATCGATTCCTTCTAGCATTTTGGAGGGGTATATGTATGTGTATGCATGCATATATGTGTGCATGAGTGTGTTCAGCTTTTCACCTTTGCCAGCCAAAAACAAAAAAAGCAGTCTGTACTTCTCCCCAAACTAAGAAAGTAACATAGGGAAACCTCAAAGAAGTAGAGGTTAGGCAACTGGTAGACAATTTATTTATAGAGCTGCAAAACCTCACTCTATGTGCTACTGTGAGGAGGGAGGATTGCAAAAGCTAGAAGGAACAAGAAGGTATAAAATTCACCTTCACCTTATAATTTGCACAGTTCACCAAGAACATACACCAACACTATATCCACAAGATTCCTGAGAATGAGGTAGTCAAGTGGCTATCAGCCCATTTTACAAAACAGAAAACTGAGGTTCACAAATAAGTGACTCTAATATGCCAGCTAGCAAAAGACAGCTGTGACTAGAACCTAAATTTTCTGATTTCTATTTAAGTGTTCTTCCTCCATTTGGTGCCTATAAGTAAGTGTAGAGAATCATAGAATATTCCCATCTCCAGGGACCCAAAGACTACACCATCTAACCTGCCTATCAGGTAAGTGAGAATGTAGACCTAAAAACATTAAAAAAAAAAAAAAAATGGCAACATCACACAACCAATTCCTGGGACAAGAACTCCATCTTCAGAATCAAACTCCTATTCTCTTTCCACTGCTCACTTTTTCATCCTCAGCTCATTTTTTTTTCTAAATTGTATTTACTTTGTTGTTGTTGCTGTTAAGAATGTGCACAGCAAAACATATATTGATTCGACAGCTTCCACATGTACAATTTAGTGACATTGATTACATTCTTCAAGTTGTGCAACCATTCTCACCCTCCCTTTCTGGGTTGTTTCTCCCTCATTAACATAAACTCACTGCCCCCTAAGTTTCTTATCTAATCTTCCAGTTGCTGTTGTCACTTTGATCCCCTAGAGATAGTTCTTAAAAGAGCACAATGGTCAAGGCATGTAATCTTTACTAGTTAAGCTATACATTTGTTTGATTTTAAGAGGACTTCAAGAGATATATTTGGATGAAGGTTTAAAAATTATTTCAGTGTAATAATTTCAAGGGTTCATCTACCCTCCTTGGCTCCAGAAAGTCAAGAGTCCATAGGGTTTGAAATTCTGTTCTGTATTTTCTCCCTTGTGATCAGGATTCCTCTATGAAATCTTTGATCAAACTGTTCAATAATGGAAGATGAGCACAATCTGGTTCTTCTGGTCTCATTGCAAAGAGTGCAGTTTTCCATGGAAGCAATTAGCCACACATTCCATATTCTCATTCTATTCCTGACTCTCCTTCTTCCTCCATTGCTCCAAGAGAATATAGACCAGTTGTGCCTTGGATGGCCACTTGCAAGATTTTAAGATCCCAGGAACTACACAACAAACTAAGAGGTAGAACAGAAGCCCTAAATATATTATTGGCTGGGATGTCCCATGAAACCATGATCCTAAACCTTCAAACCAAGGAACAAAATCCCATGAGGTATTTGATTGTATATAAACAGCGTCAGCAACTACTCTTTTTCTGTCATTGCTGTAAATACATCTACCACACAAATTTTGCCAATTCAATTTTTTACAGGTTTACAATTTATTAATCACAATTACGATAATGAGTTGTGCAACCTTGCTTACCATAATCAATGTGAATTCCATTACAGTTAACTCTCCTTTTCCCCTTCCCTCCCATCCCTGCTAACCACTGATAAACTTTGGTCTCTATACACTTGTCTTTTCTTGTGGTTTTATATAAATGAAGGTCATACAATATTTGTCCTTTGTGATTGGCGTATTTCACTAAGCATCATGTCTTCAAGCTTCATCCATACTGTAGCATGTATCAAGATTTCATTTCTCCTACTGGTTCAGTAGTATTCCATTCTATGTATGTACCACATTTTGTTTATCTATTCATCTGCTGATGTGCATTTAAGTTGTTTCCACTTTTTTGCTATTATGAATAGTGCTATGATGAGAATTGGTGTGCAAGTCTCTTTTTGAGCCTCTATTTTTAAGCCTTTTGGATATATACCTAGTAGTGAAATTGCTGGGCCATATTTTTAGTTTTTTGAGGAATGGCCACACTGTTTTCCACATGGCTGTACCATTTTGCATTCCCATCAGCAATGCAAAAGGGTTCCAATTTCCCCAGATCCTTGTCAACATTTGTTATTTTCTGTTTGTTTATCTTAGCCATTGTTGAAAGCTAAACCTACAGGATTGCCCCTGCTTGTTCTTTTAAGAATTTTATGGCTTTACTTTGCATATCCCTTATCCATTTTGAATTTGTTTTTGTGAATGGTGTGATGCATGGATTCTATTTCATTTTTCTGTATGTGGAAATCCAATTTTCCCAGCACCATTCAATGAAGAGACTCTTTTTTGCCCAGCAAATGGGCTGAGCACCTTTGTCAAAAATCAGTTGACCACAGATTGCAGGTTTATTTCTGGATTCTCAATTCTATCCCATTTTTTCTATTGTTATACCAGTACCAGGCTGTTTTGATTGCTGTAGCTACATAGTATGTTTTGAAATCACAAAGTTTGAGCCCTCCTACTTTGTTGTTCTCTTTCAACATTGTTTTTTGGGGTCTCTTGCCATTCCATATGAAGTTGAGGATTGGGTTTTGTATTTCTGTAAAGAAGGCTGTTGGAATTTTGGTCACGATTGTATTGAATCTATAGATCACATTGGATAGTATTGACATCTTAACAATGTTAAGTCTCCTTATCCACGA